CGTTTAGGGGAGAAGCCACCCCCAGACAGTGGGGACAGAAAGGAGGAGGCTCCACTGGATGGAGAAACACAACAGAAAATGGAGTTATTTGTGAAAGAAAGCTTCGAGGCCAAGGATGAGCTGTTCCCGGAGAAGCCGGAGAAGCCGCGTGGAGGAGAGGGGTGGCCTGCAGAGGGGACGGAAGCCGAGGAGCCAGTGGGGAGCCTTCCAGCGCAGGCCCCGGCACCCCCAGGAGCAGCCAGGGGAGGTAAGGCGCTGCGGCCTCTGCCCTGCTGGGCGTGGCCGTCCCCTGCATGCTGCTTCTAGAAGGCCGGGTTGCAGTGGCCTCTTCTCTAGAGGAGCAGCACTGGGTGGAAATGCAGCGGCCATCACGAGAGGAGGCACATGACAAACGCAAAAGGCAACAGGTGACACCGTTCACCACAGGGGACACTGTTCCCAATGCTTCATTCAACCCAGCATGTCTGGAAATGCACATAAGGCTCTCCATGAGGTGTTGTACACAGCTTTGTGGACAAGGTCATCAAATCCAGTGTGTGGGTGACTCTGCACGCCTCGACGGGGGTGCTGAGGTTTCAGTGGCCAAAGGGAAACGGGTCCTACCAGAACAACACAGCATTTTATCCTACTTCCCCTTTAAATTTTCAATTAAAGTTAATTAAAAGTAAAGCAGTAAAATAAAATCAAAAACCCACCCTGGCCACATAGCCATATGTGCTGTGGCCAGGGACAGTCCCACCCAGACTTCCCCTTGGCCCCTCTGGATGAGCCATCCTGGCACGCTCCCGGTCTGTAGGGTGGGGAGATGGGCAGTGGCCTGAGCAGGATGTGAGGCCTCTTTAAAAATGTTTTTCAGTTTGTCAATAGATCTTTTATTTATTTGTTTGTTTATTTATATGTGATGTTGAGGATCGAATCCAGGGCCTCACACAGGCTAGGCGAGTGCTCTGCCACGGAGCCCCACCGCCCCCCGGAGCCCCCCAGCACACGGCCCCCCGTCTCCCTACTGTGTACCCGCCCAGCTGCCTTTCCAGTCCCTGTTCCTTCTGCATCACGTCCCAGCTGGTGCTTCCCCCAAGGGACAGCAGCATGCTGTCCTCTCTCAGCTAGGGGACATAACCCTGGCCGTGGCTGTGGATTCTGTGGCTTTGGCCATAGGTGCTGGCCCCTTGCACCCAAGGAGGGTTTCTGTCCTTCTGCGTCACCTGGGGTTGGCCGTCTGAGCACAGGTGTGAACCAAGCAGGGCTGACGGCTGCCCCTCGTTGCCCAGATTCAGCCTCCCAGGTGGCAGAGACTGCAGGTATGCTGCTGACGGAAGCTTCAGCCACCACGGAGCCAGGGGCCCAGGAGAAGTTCTTCATGGATGTACGTGGAGCGCTTCGCCGTGGGCAGTGGGGGCGCACAGTCGGTAAAGCGGGGTGAAGCCCAGCTCGCGGGCCTTGTGACTTAGCGTGGTCCTTGGTAGCAGGTGTAGCACCTCCAGAAACTCAGAAGGGGACCCCCAGAACTGCCGCCCAACAAGGCCTTTAGTATGACTGCCACCAGGAGACGCACACCCAGGCACTCAGGCTGGGGCCACGCTGGCCCCACAGCCCCTTGAATTGTAGCTGTCAAACTCCACCAAAGGGGTCCCACTGCAGAGCAGTGCTGTCCAGCCAGCCTTGGAATTCCACTCTGACCGTTGGGGCTCTCAGTCCTCCTGTCCGTGCCCAGGGAGCCCCTCCTGCTCTCACTGGCTCTTCTCTGCACCTGTTACCTGCTGGCTTGTCACCGTCCTCTTGGGCTGGTGTGGTGCATGCTGGATGGCTGCCTGGCATGTCCCACTGGAATCTCCTCCCGTGTGGGTGACGTGAAAGGGGACCACGGGGGCGCACACTGCCACATGACCAAGAACTAAGGGGGAAGAGCTGGGGTGGTGTCAGCCCAGCCGTGGACATCAGTGCCACAACTTGCCCGAGACCCCGCCTTTGCCCCCCTGCCCACTCCCTTGTTAAACTCCCAACGGGTGCTCCTTTTCTTGTGCCCAAATTTTAAAATTTCACGACTCTAATTATTAAACTAATCATAGTCAGTATTCTCAGTGAGCTTCTAAGTTTTCCAGACCTATATATATATATATATAATAAAAAAAATTAGCCAATTTCTAATATTTGAGAGCTGACAGTATACAGAACTTCAACATCAATAGCCGGTATTTATTGAGCTCTTACTCTATGCATGGCATGGGTCAAATCATGATTTGTATTAATCGATTTAATATTTCCAATATCATCACCCCAAATTTACAGATGAGGAAATTGAGAAACGAGAGGTTAAGCCACTTTCCCAAAGCCACACAGCTAGGAAATGTGGCGTGGGAACACTAACCCAGGCAGTGTGTTCTTGAGTTCCTGCGTGGTCCCACCCACTCTGCCCCCTCCCCCGCACACTGGCGGGTGCACTCTCACCAGTTTAAGGGAGGGACTTGCGTGCCACACAGGGCCCAAGGACTAATTTCTACAGAGTACTTTCGACTTGGGTTCCACTGTTTCCTGAGAAGGTGGGGGCATTCTTTAAATGTCCATTTAAGTGGCCATGTGCAAAGTCGGCTTTGGTGATGAGACCTGGGCACCTGGCCTTGGCTTTGAGAGCGGCTGGGCAACCTCCCATCCCTTGGCTTGCTCAGAAGCAAGGTTTCACTTGCACTCTGTCTGCATTTGTCTTGCCTTTGGGAATGCTGGGACGTGGGCCTCCCTGGTGATGTGTGGCTCTTGGCTCTTTCAGGACCTGCCGGACCTGGAAGACGTGGAGGACACAGGCGCAACTCTGGAAGTCCAGGACACGGTTGTCAGTACACACTTCCCCACAGTCAGAAAGTCCCGTGTTTGTGCCTGCCATTTTTTTTTTTTTTTAAAGAGAGAGAGAGAGAGAGAGAGAGAGAGAGAGAGAATTTTTTAATATTTATTTTTTAGTTTTCGGCGGACACAACATCTTTGTTTGTGTGTGGTGCTGAGGATCGAACCCGGGCTGCACACATGCCAGGCGAGTGTGCTACCGCTTGAGCCACATCCCCAGCCCCTGTGCCTGCCGTTGACACAGCACATGTCTGTCCCCTGAAAGCCAGGTGTGCTCGTGCTGAAGCACTGGGCACCCAGGTCGCCTCCTTGCTGAAGGAAGCGCAGCTAGTGGTTCCTGCTCGGTTTCCTTTGAGGTTTAATCACGAGCCAGCACCAGCCACGGGGCTTTCCTGCACGTGTTTTATTGCTCATGGTGGTAACCACACTGATGTAATTACCCGGAGCATTTATCTGTCCATGGTGCATTTCCACCTCCTGAACCTCCCTGATGGGGACAGCTGCGGATGGAGGGAAGGAAAAGGGAAGGCAGATCAGGGGAGGAGCACTGGATGAGGTGCCCTGTGGAATTATCCCCAACTGACCCTGCCCTCCTCCCTCGGGCATTACTCGGAGCTCAAGGGTGCCAGACCTGGGCTACAAGGGAGGGAGGCATCAGAGGTCATCAAAGGTAACGGGCACGTGAGACTGCGGTTACCACAGGGTACTGATGTCCAGGAGTGAAGTCCCAGAGACTGGTGGACAAGGTTGGGCTCAGGAAGACACCAGGCAGGGCCAGCATGAGGCTGTCATTTAGGGGCCGTCTGGTGGGGGTGCAGTGTGGAGACCAGGCAGAGGGCTGGACAGGAATGGACACTGGCTATGGTACTCAGCAGGAGCTGCTGACCCCGGAGGATCCACTTGAGGCTCCAGTGTTCTTGTGGGTCTTCCTGCGCCATGGTGACCACTGCTGCCACTTGACTGTGGAGTGACTAGTGCAGAAGCAAGTAAGTGTTCAGACACCCTTCTCTCAACAGGAAAGGTGCTCTCCAAAGATTGAGGCCATCTCGAGCTTAAGTGACAACGGTGACCCTGACCTGGACAATGTGTCTCCAGAGCTGGAGGGCAGGCCCACAGACACCCAGTCACACATATTCGCAGTCTCTAGAGACACCTCGAAGAAGGCCGAGACCCCTTTTACAAACATACTTAAGAAAGAAACTATAAAGGCCTTGGGAACCCCAAGTCAAGTCCCCGAGTCCCCAAGGGTGCTTATTCAGGAGATTAGTGGCCATGAGACCTCGAGCCAACTCCTCGTGCCCTCCTGCTGGAGAGATGCTGCTCCTGCTCCTTCCAGCGAGAGTGGAGACAGACACCTCCCCGCAGCCCCTCCACCAGGTAAGGCCACTGCGTTGCAGGTCCACAGCGCTGCTGGGCATGCGCTGAGCCGTGAAGGCTGGGTGGGCCCAGGGAGCTCGCCCGGGGAATCCCAGGTTCCTGGAAAGGGCCACGGGGACACACCAGGAAACCTCTGCAGATCACATCTCCAAGTCTGTGACTAAAGTTCTGCTGGTGGGCATCACCTGGATAAGCCCCCAATGTACCATTCTTGGGCGGTGACCTGTGTATCACTTTATCACCAGGCATGCAGTGCCTAGTGGGGGTTTCGCAGGGCTGGGGGGCCAAGGAGCCTGCACCTCCATACCCTCTCATCAACCCACCCTTCCTGGTCCTTCCAGACCATGGCTTCTGGAGGGGCTGTGGAGGCTGGGCAGCGCTAGGCTGGCATGAAGGTGTGCCTGCTCCACACTGCACACAGGTGACAGGTCCCATGCCTGCTGCCCTGCTCAGGAGATGGAGGTGGGAGGGGACAATGCCAGGCAGCCTGGCCTGCAGGCAGGAGGGAGAGGCAGGCTCCATTCCAATCCCCACCGGCCTCTCTCTTCAGCAGACTGGACTGGAAAGAATGAAGAGTGGAACGAGGAGTCCAGTGGGGGGACAGGCCGGGAGGACATTGAATTTGGCTTGGACTGAATCCAAGATGACTCCTGTACCATCAGACTCATGGGGTCAGGGAGCAGGCGTGGTCACCCCCTCTACTCAAGTACTGCTGCTGCAGCCTGCCGAGATGGGGGCTCCTGTCCTTTGCACCACGCGTCCCAAGTGTGCCATGTGTCAACTCCCCGTTACCTGTAGTATACACTGTGTAATTATAAACGTCTATTAGCATAATAAATGTTTTAGCAGCCATATTCCTGCAAGTTACAGGCAATTTCCTCTGGTCCATCAGATACTGAGAAAGACCCTCCAAGTGTGATCCGCAGCAGGGCCACAGCCCGGTGCCTGCCCTCTCCAATGGGCATTTCCCACAGCACAGGGAGCCACCCACAGGAGCACCACCAGCACAAGTGTTCAGCCAAAAGCACCTCCCTGGGAAGCTGCTCACAAACCCACCCTGCAGCAGGCTCTCAGCTCCTGGGGCCTCGCCCTACCCCCACCCAACAAGGGGAACATGGCTGCTGCCATTTCCATGGGGTGGGGAACAAGGGGGGTGGGAGAGCCCAGCCTCCAACAGAGCCTGCCCCTGCCCCCCTGTGCTCCCTCTCCCTCTAATCTGTAGGCCATTCTGTTGCCTACTCCTCTGACATGGGCCCACTTCACTGCTGGGCCTCCCACGGCTGGCCACAAGGGCCTTCAGGAGTTGGAAAGCTCTGCCGTCCCTGGGGAGCGCCATCTCCTGCCGTCCCTGGGAAGGCCCTGCTGACCTGGGCACAAGGAGGAGCCTCACCAGTGCCTCAGAAGCCCATGCGTGCCTTCTTCCTGGGGGGCCGAGAGCCGGAGAGGACAGGGGTGTGCTGCTGGGAGGGGGTGGCCTGGGCACTGGAGGCCTGGGTGGGGAGTATTGGGCTATGTCCCAGAGTGTCATTTTGAAGTGGCAGTTTGGCCATGTAGTCCCGGAGGGTTTGCCGCCGCTCCAAGGGGATGCCCTGGGTCCACGGCTCCTGACTCAACTCCTGGGAGTGCAGTGTCCCTGTAGAGTGAGGCCTAGTCTCTGAGGACGTCTGGTTTGGGCTGTGAGGAGGGCTGCTGGCCTCTGGGAGATCTAAACCGCTGGTGAGCGAGAAGGTGCTGGACAGCTGAGACCGGCGTTTGGGCCGCTTGGCCCGGCCCTCAGGCTCCAAGGCCCTGAACTGCCGCCTCTCCCACCAGGCAGCCCCTTGGCCTTCCCAGGCTGCCCCCAAGCGCTCGGTAAGCTCATCCTGTGGGCCTGATTCAGGCGCGGGGGGCGGCTCTGCCCTGGGCAGCGAGCCCAGGTCCCTCTGCTGCAGGAGCCGCCCTTCAGCCATGGCCGCCCGGAGTCCCTGTGGCACTCTCCCTGCATCCTTCTGCGGCTCCATGCGGCCCAGCAGCCGGCGGTGGGAGAAGGTGGGTGCAGCCCACACAGCCGGGGCAGGGGGCACCTCCAGCAGGGCTTCTAGCCAGTGGCTACAGCGGGCGATGGCCTGGGGGCTCCAGGAAGGTGCGAGAGGCTTGGGAGGTGGGTCCTGGGGTGATGCCGTGGCCCTGGGTGCAGGGCAGGTGGGCCCAGGGTCCGGGTCGCTGGGAGGCTCGGGGGGCTCCGTGTCTCTGTGGAGGCGGAAAGGCTGGGAGAAGACGTCCCCAGCCTTGGAGAGCTGGAAGACGGACAGGACTGGTGCAGAGGCACAGTGCGCGACAGTGGCGGCCAGACCTGGAGAAGGAAGACCCCGTGACCTGCCAGCCCTGGCAGGACTCTGCACTGTCCCCAAGCTGCTGCCCCCCCGCCCAGCACACCTATGGTTGGCGCTTCCAGACGCTGCTGCAACTGCCCCTGGCTCTTGGGTTCCAGGAGAGGAAATGCAGAGAGGGAATCGGTCCTGGAGGGAAGAGACTGGGGGGGCCCTGCCAGCCGGGGTGTGGAGGACCCCGCTCCTGGAGGAAGGGCAGACAGCTGAGGCCACAGCAGGCCCCAGCCCCATGCATCTTCCTGCACCCCTCCCACCCGTGCAGACCTCACCTGTGAGGTGCAGCAGCTGAAACTGGCCCCCCTGGCCTCCCAGGAGCAAGGGCTGTGGCAAGCCAGGGCCGGGGGGAGGCAGCAGGCGGATGAGCAGGGGCGGAGAAGGGAGGCCGTGGTCCCACTTCAGCACGGGCACGAGGGGGAGGCGCTCGTCCATCAGGTAGAGTGAGAACTGGGGAGGATGGGGGTGGGGGTGGAGATGGTGTTTGGGGGCCCTTTCTCGGCACACCTGGCCCTCAGGATGGGTACAAATCCCCAGGGGCAGCAGCACTCGGACCAGCCTTCAAGTGCTCCTAAGTTCGCCTGCCCAGCCCTGAAGTCCTGAAGAAGCAGTGCCCCTGCCAGTCTGAATGGGCAGATGGATGACACAGTGGGTACGTCTCCTCAGAAGCCCACCTGGCCTTTCTGACCCTGGAATCTGTGCCAGAGACACAGCTAACGCCCGGAGTCCTTGGCGGGGGACAGGCAGGCAGAGGGCAGAGCTTCAGATGACCTCAGACCTCCTCCTCGGCCCTGCAGAGCAGGGGCCGTGTCCTTGCACAGATGCTCTGTCCCACCCTGGAGCCCATCAGACCCCTGAGGCCATCCCCACCTGCTGCTCCCATGGGCTGTCTAGGCCAGATTCAGCCCTCAGGGTCTGTGACTCTGGGCTGACAGGTCTCTAGCAAACACAGAGACCCCGTGAGGCTGGGGGCTGCTCACCTGGGTACAGACGAGATGGAGGGTGGGAGGGAGGCAGTCAGAGCTGGCCTGCCCCAGATAGTGGGTGACCAGGACACGTTCTCCTTTCTGACAGGAGGCCTCTGCCCCCCCACGGAAAAGCAGCAGTCCGCAGCCTGGCGGGCCCTGGGGAGGGCACAGGGTCAGCCTCCTCCGGGTCCAGGGAGGAACACCAGGCTCACCAGGCTGCTTCTCATGCCACGGCGGGTGGAAGACTCTCCGTACCCCTCCCCCATACCTGAGTGTCAACTATCTTCACCCCAGTGCGGTCACCCACTGTCAGCACCCGAGGGTGGGCGGTGAAGTCTGCCCAGCGCCAGGGAGAAGGGTCCCGGAACACAAGGGTCTCAGGGTCTTTGTAGACTTGCTGCAGCCTTGAAGAGATGGGCAAGCTGTTGGGGGGGGGGGCGGTCTGGGGGTACCAAGGAGCTGAAGAAAAAAACAGGGATGACCTGGCCTTGGATCAGGGTGGTGGGCCCTGGGTCTGTTTGTTGGGTGCAGTGTTTTTTGGGAAAGGGGAATTACCCATCCTGAGGGGTCCACATACAGACGGCTCCAGAACGGCTGCAGACGGCCAGCTCCCCGGGCAGGTGTGGGCTAAGGGCACAGTAAGATTTAACCTCAGGAAACCCGGCCTTTCCCAGGCTCACCTTGCTAACAGCTGACTCATCCTCACCTGAGACTGATCCCCGTGGCCCCCTTCTCGACCTGCAGCGTCTGCAGCGGGGTTGGCGGCTCCTGCCTGCTGACCTTCCACATGGCACAGTAGTAATCAGAGCGGACGGCCAGCAGAGCTGAGGAGGGGTTGGAGAGGTCAGGCTCAGGGTCAAGCAGTGGTTCGGCCAGGGAGGGAGGTGCCTGAAGGCCTTACTTTCTCCCTGGACGGTGCAGGTCACCACCTGCCGGACAGGTCCGCGCAGCTGGATGTACCCAGGGTCCCCAAAGACCCGAGGATTGCCTCCTGAGGTCAGACTGACCTCCTGGAAACCTGAGCCTCAGCTAAGGATCAGTGAGCGGGCACCACAAGCCCCCCCAGTTCCTACCCCTCACCGTGGACCATGCCAGGAGCACCTCCTTCACCATTGGGGTGGGTGGCTGACTCTCCCACCCAGCAGAAAGGATACACAGCTTGTCCAGGGCACCTCCCACAGGGTAGACCAGCTGGCCCACCCGGGCTGTCCTTCCGGGCACCCAGGCCAAGGCACCCCCAGTGAAGGCATCGTCTAAGAGCAGCTGCTCCCAGCGCAGGGCCAGCTCCTCATGCAGCAGCTTGCCCAGGAGGCTGGACACTGACTTGTTAAGCACTGGGCCCCCGAGGATGGAGAAGCGACGCTGCCGGTGGCTGATCCATGCCCAGGGACACCTAGGGATGGCAGAAGATCACGATGGGGCAGAGAAGGAGGAGGAATGGGCACTCGAGGTAGGTCAGGTGCAGAGTACACAGTTCTACCTAGAATGTCTTTTTTTTTGGAAACCACCCACCCTGTTCCCCCAACCAAGGTGCAGTCCCGTGGCCCAACCTGGGTGAGCACTTCATTGCTGTACAGTGACTGGCTCACAAGTGGGCGTGAGACCCTGGCCAAGTCACCAAAGTCCTTCTGGTGCCTCGGGAAGGACACTGACTCTTTGGACTCATGAGCCATCATGGTGCCACTTGAAAACAGTCTTTCTAGGAATTAAGTCAGGCAGAGGGCAGCAGGTAAGACGATACAGAGACCAGCCCATCAACCCTGAACACCTGGGCACAGGCATGCCTGAGGCCCATGGACCTGAACCCCCTTTCCGTCAGGCTAGCTGGAGCCGGAGTGCATGGGCAGGGGAAGAACTGTGAGGGAAACTGCGCCTTCCACAGGCCTGTCACCAGCTAGGCTACCCAGCAAGCTTTCTCACTAGCCACTTGCCCCCAGGGCTGGTGTCCACCAAGGTCCTGGAGCAGCCTCTTCACAGTGACCACTGTCATCTTCTTGGAGCGGCTCTGCAAGGAAAGGCCTTGTCAAGCTCACACACCTGGGGATCCAGAGTGAGGGGGGGTAGGGTGCCCTTCCCAGGCTGGCGGGGTTACTCACACGGGTACCCTCCAGTTTGAAATTCTCCAGCATCAGCTTCCCCAGGGGTGCAAAGGCTATGTCCCCATGATCCCACAGGAACCGGCTGAGCTGGGGAAGGAAGCACCAGGTCACGACGCACAGCCCCCTGCCATGAAGCACCACCTGCTGGGGGACACTCACCTGTTCAGTCACATCCAGTACGACCTGAGGCTGCCTCCGGTAGTGGCGACCTCCTCGGAAAAGGAGGTCCTGGGCAGTCACACCAGGGTCCCAGGAGTCTGAGGAAGAATAGAGGTAGGGCGCCAAGGTGGGCCAGGTGATGGAGGTCACCAAAGGCCCCAGGGATGCAGACCAGTGAGGGCCGTGGAGGGTCTAGGCACGAAGAGGTGGGGCTGAGCAGCGACAAGAAGGGCAGCTGAGGAGGACCAGAAGAAGGGCCTTACCAGGACCAGGAGGCATCAGGGGCAGGGGCCCAGGTGCCAACGGCTCCCACAGCAGGTCCTTGGCCAGGCGAGGGATGGCATTCTGGAGGGAACACACCACAGTGGCACATAAGTGTACACCCTGGGCCAGCACCGTGCAGGCTCCTGTCTCACAACTCATCCAGTCTCCACCACAGCCCCACAAAGGTGGCACAAGTGTCGTCATTCTCCTGATGTGGAAACTGAGGCATAGAGTGACTGTCATTTGCCCTCGGTGACAGAGCTGGTATACAGAAGAGCTGGGATCGAAACCTGGCAGACTGACTCCAGAGTTCCTTTCTGATCTCCTCCGGCACTGGCTCTCAAGGAAGTCCCCTGCAGCATCGCCGGCTGACCCCACCCCACTGCTTCTCGCTTCCAGGTCAGAGTGCTCACTCTGGGAGTAAGCATCAGCAGCCCCATCGTTCCTCTTTTTTTATTAGCAAAAACAGCATCACTAGGCGCCCGCATGCCACACCTGCTGCGACTCGGCTGGCCTGCCAGACCCGCCTGTTCAAAGCCCCTCCTGGACTGTCCCACCTGCCTGCCTCTCTGTCTCACCCACTTGTCTCTGCCTGGCATGGCCTTCCCGAGGCACCTGCAGAAATGCGGGGAGATCTCCCCCTCCCACACTTTAGCATCCCTTTGGTTTTGCTCAGAGCTGTGCTCACACTTTGTGGTCATCCTATCCACTGCTCTTCTCACTTGGAGACACTCACTCAGCCGGACCCTCAGTTCCGTGAGGGCGGGATGGTCTGACTTAGTCACACTGTGCTCCTAAGGCTTAACGACAGCTACCCCATTCGAGCTGTGCCAATAGGTATGAATACTAATGTGAGGACCAAGTGAAGGGGCCCACCCACAGCTGTCAGCACCCTACTTCCATCCTCACCTTGGCATCGTGGGGCTGGGACTCTGGCAGCGTCAGAACATCTCTCCAGCTGCACATGAAGGACAGGTCAGGGGCATCATTCATACCAAGGGGACCAGCCATAAACAATGAGGGACACAGGGATCTGGGGAAATCCATCCTGCAAAAAACGAGCACCACGTCACACCCACCTTCTCCAGAAAAGGCTTCCAGGATTCCTGGGGAGAGCAAAAGTACCCTCAAGGAATGCACTTTCTTTGAGGAAGCAGATAAGGAAGGCCATAGGAAAACCACCTGCCTTCTACAAGGAAGCGGGTAGTGACAGGCAAGGAGTGACCTGGGTACAGTAACCTGAGGAGTGAGACAGTCAGGTGTGCACCTGGGAAGAGGGCTGCAGGTATGAACACCAGCAAGCGTGAAAGCCCTGGAGCAGGAAAGTAAGAAACAGAAAATGCACCAGGAGGAGAGTGGAGAAGGATGAAGATAGGAGGGGTGAGGTCTGCTTCCGCCACAGCCCTTATGGACTGTAACCAGACATCTGTAGACGATACTCCCCAAACTAAGCTCCAGTACTCCCAAACCAGGACTGAGAATCACTCTTTTGTCTTCCCACTGTTAAGCACAGTGCATCTCAGAAAACGCAGTGTCTAACAGAGAAGTGTACATCAAGGGGATTTGATAATCACAGTCCTCTGTAAGTATCAGTAGCCCCATCATTCCTCTTTTTTTATTAGCAAAAATAGCAGCACTAAGTGCCAGCATGTTAGACACTGAGCTAAGTGTGTTATTCTCCTATTGCCCCTACTGTGGAATTCAGCAAACCAAGGATCAGGGACAAGCATCCACAAGCAAACTCTAGCAACAGAATCTGAGTAAGCAAACATCTCTCCCTGTAGAACCCCTGATGCACTTTATCAGTTTATTCTGTAGCTTCTGGACATGCATGGACCTCAGCACTGTGCAGAGCTGTCACATTGTTGCAGTAACTGTCAAGGAAAGAATTCGCGATCCTCAGGTCCCACTGCAGCTTATCTGTGTGCTCATCTCCTTTGCGGGCTATGAGGGCTCTTCAGAGATGGGGCGGTATCTGACCCATTCCTGAGTCCCTGGCCTGGCTGCTATCATTTTCCTTTATCTATGGGGGTGGGGGTGGGACAGATGAGCCGGTGGAACGCACAAGGAAGTGATCGGTGAGTCCTTGTGCAGAACAGCCTAGGGGAGTGGCAGAATTCTTCCCAATAAATGGGAAGACACACTAGAAAGGTCCCCGGTGAACTGTGGGGCCCGGGCTCCTTCCACACTGACCTCTCACCATGCTGCTTCTCACCATAGGGCCTCTGCACAAACTCTGGGCTTAAGAGAAGACCCCGGACCCTCCCTCTGCCCCTACAAAGTCCTTCAGCCTCCAAGGTAGGGAGGCCTCTGGCAGCTCCCCAGCTGCCGTCCTGCCAGAGCGCGGGTGGCCACCCGAGACCAGGTGTCGGGCGCCGGTGGAAGGCCCCCTACAGCCCGCCCAGAGCAGCACTGGGCACGCGCGAGCACGTGCGTACCCAGGGCGAGCGCATCAGGGCGGAGCCCCAGAGCCCGAAACGGGGCGCGCACTTACGCGGCCGCCTGTCTGGGAAGGTGACCCGCGCGACTCCCGCCGGACTCTCGAGCGAGAAAGCGGAGCCCCGGCGCCGTAGCCCACAGAGGGACCGCTCCGCCGCAGCAGCCTACCGCTTTCCGCGTCGGCAGGAAGTGCTCCCCGAGACAGGAAGTCCCGCCCCCTGCGCGTCCTCGAGCGCCGCCTGCCGGGCAGAGGGTAGACGCGCGTGAAGGCAGCAGTGAGCGGTAGAATGAAGTACCTGTCCCCGCGCTGGCGGCCGAGTTGACTTGGATTCGAATCCCAGCTCGGCTTCACCAGCTTTCTATCGCATAGGTGGTTGTGAGGGTTAACGTGATTCAGCAAACCCTGAGCACGCACTCTGAGCCAGGCACTGCACTGTCAGTGGGCACCCTGCTGACTGTCCTTAAGCCCTAGAAGCTGGCTTTACCAATGGAGGGAGGAAGAGATGCTCCGGGAGTAGGCGACGCTGTGCCAGGGGCATCCCGGCAGGGGGCGCTTCAGACAGCGGGTCTCAAACGTGAGCGTCAGCACCTGGGAGGTTGCCAGGTGATGCTGACGCTGTTTGAGGGCCAGGCTTTGAGAATCGGTGTCCAATCACAGAGCCACTTGCAGCGCCAGTTTACACGGTGTCTTAAGTAGGTCTGGAATGTGGCACTGTAGTTTGCATTTCTAGAAAGTTCCCAGGTGAGGCTGATAGTGCTGGTCCAGGTACCACAGTTTGAGAACCACCGCTTTGAAGGATCAACTTGCAGATTCTCAGCTTCCATCTATACGGGTTCTATCAGGGAGTTCCTTGGAGTCAGATGGTCCTTTCCCATCTTCCCTTTCCCAGTCGCTGTATTCCCTTCATGGAGCATTGTTCGAGGATGAGCACTGCACAAGAGTTCTTCTCGGGCTGGGGATGTGGCTCAAGCGGTAGCGCGCTCGCCTGGCATGCGTGCGGCCCGGGTTCGATCCTCAGCACCACGTACAAACAAAGATGTTGTGTCCGCCGAGAACTAAAAATAAATATTAAAAAATTAAAAAAAAAAATAAAAAAATAAATTATTGGATATAAAATTAAAAAAAAAAAAAAAAAAAAAAAGAGTTCTTCTCAACAGCAGACCTCCAACAGGGCGTATTAAGTAAACAAGTTCAGCAGCAAGTAAGGACAGAAGGGTGCAGGAGGCGGGCTTTGGGGCCTGACGACATTATTTCTTCATCTGAGCATGGCTGGTTGTGTTCAGTCTGTGAAGATTCACTAATAATCTGTGTACTTTTCTATAGGTATGTTATAGTTCCATAAAAAGTCTTTTTGAAAGAGAAAAGGCCATGATGCCTTATCAAGATTTTGAACTTGGTCAGGCCATGGCCTTCTTAGTTATCTAAGAAACAGATAATGCTTCATAAATATTGAATTGATAAGAGAATGAAATGAAAGGGTCGTTCAGGAAAAATAAAAAAAGAAATTTATTTAGATTGAACAAAATGAAGTCAGGCTGTTTCCAATAGGAAGTCTGATTTATCTGTCTTTTGACACTGAGATGGGCTTTCCAAATAAGTCACCTGGGCGTGAATATTTCATAAATGGGATGAGCTTATACATCTCTATGGTTTTTTTAAAAAATATTTTATTTATTTATTTTTAAGTTTTTTTGGTGGACACAACATCTTTGTTTGTATGTGGTGCTGAGGAGGATCGAACCTGGGCCGCACGCATGCCAGGCGAGTGCGCTACCGCTTGAGCCACATCCCCAGCCCCACATCTCTGTGGTTTTGAGGAAATATAAAGGATGATTTTAACAGTAAATCATGAATTACAGCTTTTGTAACTATTTCAATTTGTGATTAAAAATTGGGGCTACACAGGTTTTCAGAATTATTTTAGGGAGTATGTATGCAAAATAACTGAAGACCAGTTAGATCAGTTTCCTACTACAGCTGTACCAAGTTGCCACAGCCCTAACAGCTTAAGACAGCATGGTATGTTACAGATCTGGAGGTCAGAGGTCCAACACACATCTCACGGGCTAAGTCAAGGTGTCCGCAGGTCCATGTGCCTACTGAAGCTCTAAGGGAAGGAGCCGTGGTCTTGCCTTCTCCAGCCTCCGGAAGCCACCTGCATTCCTTGACTCAGTCCCCTTTCATCCTCAAAGTCAGTGTGGCCTCTTGACTCTTTCTCATGACTCTTTAGCTCCCTGTTGCCCATTTAAGGACTCCATTGATCATGTCCAGATAATCCAAGATAATCCCCTATTTTAAAGTCAGCTAATTTGCCCCTTGCCAAAAAACATATATTAGCAGGTTCTTAGGATTAGGATGTGGACAATCTGTGTGTCCAATTGCATTCCCTCCTTTCTTCCTTTCTCTGGGTTTTAACCAGTTTCTCTTCACTAACATATTTACCATGCAGTGAGGTGCACTTACGCGGCCACCTCGGGTGCCTGTCTGGGAAGGTGACCCGCGCGACTCCCGCTGGACTCCTGAGCGAGAAAGCTGTAGCCCACAGAGGGACCGCTCCGCCGCAGCAGCCCACCGCTTTCCGTGTTCCTTGAGTCTCTACACAGGTATAAACCCATGTGATCACCTCCTGGATCAAGAGAGCATGGTCACTTAAGAATATCCCCTGGAGCTGCTGACCACCAATCCCTCTTTCACAGAGTAACCACGATTGTGACTTTTATCACAATTTTGCCATTTCAAGAACTTTACAGAGTTGGAATCATAACAGTTTTGTGCATGCAGCAGTACTTTCTTTTTAAGTAACTGTAATTGCGGTTCACTTGATGCTGTGGCTATATCCTTGTGGCTTTGAAATTTACATTTTTTTCTCTTTCCCAATGTTCTTTTCCCTAAACTTCTCTTCCCTGATCTTCTTTTCCCTGAACTTCTTTCTGAACTCTCCTCCTTATTCTCATTTTCTCTGAATCACCTCTATAAAACCCTGTTCCTGCTGTTGGGGAAAATCACAGGAGTCCCCTGTGTTTCTCCTTTGCTGGCAAAGCAATAAACCTTTTCCTTAAGACCTCGTCTTCATTATTGGGTTGGCCTTGAGGAGGAGGACCGAATTTTCAGTTATTAATCCTCCATTGAATGACTGTCACCATTCGTTCAGCCACCCTCCTTAGGTAGGCATTTGGGAGGTAACTGGGTTTGGCAATTCCGCTCAAGTCTTTGTAGATGCGCGCAGCCATTTCTGAACACCTACTGTACTGTCTGATCAGCCCCAAGCCTTATTCCACTCTCTGGGCGACTTGCCCCACACAATGGAATTGTTCTTGCTGATGCCCATCTTTGAAATGTGTGGGAGGAGAAGACTCCCCAGCCAGCCACACCCACTCTTCTGAAGTCAGAAGTTCCTGTTTCACCAACTCTTCTCTTATGTCTTCAGTGTCCACAGTGTCACATCCTGATGTGGCGTTTTCAGAATCTGTAGTTCAAGCTACAGCAGCAGCCACAGCAGCCACCACAGATCTTCCACACACTGAGCTGGGGTCACGCTCTCCCAGTAACTGGCTGCTGTAGGAGTCAGAGTGATGGGGCAGCCCACCTCAGCAACTGTGTCTCACATCATAGCAGGCCTTACGTAAACTGTCCTCATCCCTGGCTTCATCTTTACTTTTCTTGTCTCCCGCTCGCCCCTCACCTTAAAGCACTACAACTCAGAATCCCTTCTAGGGAAAGTCAAGGGGCCAAAGGGCAAGTATTTGGCCAGTAAATAATTTTGTTTAGATTTATAAAGGCCTACAGGTTCCTTTGAAAGTGGATGGCAATGATTCCGTGGGGCTGCTCAATAAGGACACCTGCAGGCTCAGGGGCTGTGGGGGGCCATGATTTGGGGCTGTTCTGGGAAAGGAGCTGAAGTGTGAAACTGGGCAAGAAGCCCACAGACCCTCTCGGTTGGTTTCGCATCCTCCAGGCCCACTCAAAGCTGGAGACGCTGATGGAGTGGGCCCCACCCTCACCCGACCTGGCACAACGCCCACCACCCGGCAGGCGTGGGAGGTTGGGTTTCAAGCCTCCTTCGCCTCGGGCCAAGGAGATCAGGGAGGCTGGCTTTCCCATTGGCCACGCTGTACCCCTCCCCCCAGATCCGCGGGCTCTCATTGGCCAGGGCTACACGGGGGCGGAGCTCCAGACGGCTGTCAGCCACGTGTTCCCACGTGAATCCGCCCGCGTGTAAAAGAGCGCGCTTGGCGCTAGATCGGGTCCGCTGCTTCTCGTGTCCAGGCATGGCGTCGTCGGCCAGCGCGGCCTCTGATGACGGCGGTCGCAAGAAGCCCCGCCTGGCGGCCTCGCTGCAGATCAGCCCCGGGCCCAGTCCCTGGCGACCCTCGGCTGGCCTGGGCCAGGACGCCTGGGGACCCCCGCGCGCCGGAGGCGCGGAGGCGGACGCGGAGGGCGGCGCGCAGGCTGCGGGGCGTGGGGCTGGGGTCGGGGAGCCCGGGCCTGCTCGGGCGCGGGAGGACCCGGAGGTGCGCCCAGGGGGGTTCCCCAGGGTGTTGGGGCCCGCGGGCGACTTCCCCACTGCGGCTCGGCCGCTGAGCCTGCCGCTCAGAGACCCGCCGCCAAGCCAGGCCGTGGCCTCGCTCGCGCAGTATGCAGCCGGCTTGGGCGTCTCCCTGACCTTCCGAGAAGACCCGGTGGCAGGTGAGGCCCAGCCGGGCCGCGCTGTGGGGGGAGCCACGGGGTCGTGGGGCAGTAGGGCCACTGCTCACCCGCCCCAGGTGAAGCAAGAGAGGGTTGGTGGGCCGGACCCCAGCCCGGGCCTCCAGGTCGACCCCCGCAAACAGCAGGACCAGCCCCAGCAGACATCTGGCCGTGGCAAGGTCTTGGCTGGTGAATATTATCCCCACCTGATACCCAGGAGTCTAAGGGACATGCCCCAAGACACCCAGCCTATCTGCACCCCCTTTAAAGGACCAGTTTTGCAGTTTCACTTGCCGTGCCAGTACTGCAGATTTCTGAAGTAGACACTGTTAAGCACAATTTGCAATATTTTATACACAACATATAGGAATAGTCATTACTGTGTTCTTCTGTCTTCCCCAATACACTCCCAACTCCCAGTCTTAAACAGTTTTAGTATGAAAGCTAATTGCAGACACCTTGTCCCTTATTCCTAAACACAGCAGTGTGTCTCTCTC